AGCCGAGTTATGCTTGTTATAAATGTGTCCCACAGACTCTTTCCTTGACAACCCAACACCCATAAACAAGACTATTGAAGAAGATAGATTTGACATTCAAGATGTATGGAGGAGGATAAATTATTGTGGTATGGTTGTGATCAAAATGCAAGAGTTGAACAATATAGAAATGTAGTCAGAAAAAAATAAATAATCAATACAACCAATCTTTTAGAATTGCACGGTTATATCAATATCATAGATGACAGAAGACTACGTTGTTGTTGCACGTGACACAAATTGTAGTAGATATGCTCCATGCAAATCTGTGACAAGTCTCAGCCTAAAACCTATCTGAATTGCCTTCAAATTTTCATTCTTCCCTTAACACAACACTTGAGATTGCGATGGAGACAACACCAACTTGCAACCTTCACTTTGTATTCATCCCCTTCATGGGCCATGGTCACATGCTTCCTCTAGTAGACATGGCTAAGTTGATTGCACGGCACAATGTGAAGGTGACCGTAGACACCACGCCACACAACACCCTCCAATTCAGTGCCACCATCCAGAGAGATCCAATCTGACTCACCCATCCAAATTCAAGTTATTCAACAAGTCACATTCCCAATGGAATAGCAGAGGGGTGTGAGAGCCTAGAATCTATCCCTTCAACGGATGTCATGGCCATGGAGAACTTTGTCATAACCTTATAAATGTTGCAAATTCAGCTAGAAGAGCTTATTGAAAAGATAACACCCATTCCATGTTGCATTATACCTGACAAGCACATTCCTTGTGTTGCTGATATCAAGTTCAAGGTCCCTAGAATAATATTTGATGGAACTGGTTGCATCAACCTCGTGCGCAAACCACAAACCACATGCTTTATAGGTCTATGAAACTGTCCTTGACAGATCACCAATTGATGAACTAGCAAAATATAATAAACAGAGAATTCTGTCTACAAATAACAACTTTTGCCTAATTACACACCCTACAATTGTGACTGGGCAAACCTTTAATTGGGGTTGTAAATGAAGATTTGATGGATAATCATCAAAATGATAAAACAACTGTATTAAGCTAGTCCTCAAAGTCAAACTATAGCTTTAATCTCCCGGTCATGCTACTACACCAGTGGCCAAGCATATCAACAGATAAATTAAAATTATACTATGGCTCAAAGTAATAATAAACAATTAATCATAGCAGAAAGAAAAAATCACGCATTACATTGCAAAAAAAAAAAGGGAGTTGACAAGATACAATTTTGATATGAACAGAAATTGAGAAGGTATGACATTGGGGACTAAGATCCCATAAATGCGTATCTAAGTTAACCACCGAAGCCATAGAGGGTTCTGCCCTGTCTCTTGAGGGCGTAGACAACGTCCATAGCGGTTACGGTCTTGCGGCGCGCGTGTTCGGTGTAGGTGACCGCATCGCGAATCACGTTCTCCAAGAAGATCTTGAGGACGCCACGTGTCTCCTCGTAGATCAGACCGCTTATACGCTTGACGCCGCCACGACGGGCCAAGCGGCGAATGGCGGGCTTAGTGATCCCCTGGATGTTGTCCCTCAGAACCTTACGGTGCCTCTTCGCTCCTCCCTTTCCCAAACCCTTTCCTCCCTTCCCTCTTCCAGACATTGTCTTCTTCGCTTTTCACAATTCAAAATGTGTGCTCACTTTCTTATTGCTTTCTGTTCTTCGGACTTTGGGACTTTTATATCTTATTTATAGGCTACGATACCATTATCAAATGATATAAGATGAATGATTCCATGCCGTTGGATTGTTTGGTTATCCGCGTGAGTGGATTTCCTGAAGATCTGGACCGTTAGATTAGAAAATTTCATTCCACAATGTGTACTAGGAGGATTGCCACGATGGCACCCTCATTTTAGCTTGCATCATCTCGTGTATTCATTTTATTTGTTTCTCTCCATGTCAGGTGACTGTTGAAATTTATTGAAGTCTTAATTTTGCAGGTAATTTTTTTTATTACTATGGAACTTGTAGTTTTTACTAGTACTAGGCTATGTTTGACCTATTTTTTCTTTTCTTGTTTTCATAAAAATTAAGAATTCTCTTTCCATATAAATTAAAATATTTATTGGAAACTATAAAATGGTAAATGAAATTCATTAAATTAGTTGGGACTTGATTTTTTTTTTCTAATAAGAGAAATTCATATGTTAATAGAATTGTAACAGTGAATTCTCATTGATTAAAAATGTTACAAAGAAGAAGATATATATAAACAACTAAAAATGACAGCTGGCAAAACAAACTAAAACACCTATTAGTTGTATCCAGAAGAATAAACTATTACAGACTGTAATACCCCCTCTCAAGTAGGAAGGAATATGTTATGAATTCCTAACTTGTGACTAAAAAACTTGAACATAGGTGCTGGCAAGGCTTTAGTAAAAAAAATCTGCTATTTGATGTTGTCTTCGTATATGTAGTACCTTGAGTTTCTTCTTGGTGACTAATTCTCTTATGAAATGATGGTCTATGTCAATGTGCTTCGATCTTTCATGTTGAACTGGATTTGATGCTAGATATATAACACTCATATTATCACAGAGAACATATGCAGATGGTATGTGAACTTCTAGAGTGGAGAGTAGTCTCTGTAGCCAAACAGTTTCACTAGCAACTGTAGATAGGGACCTGTATTCTGCCTCTGTAGATGACTTAGATACAGTTGGTTGCTTCTTTGATTTCCAAGATATCAAAGTTCTCCTAAGAAGACAGCATAACCAGTTGTAGATCGTCTAGTTTCTTCACACCTAGCCAAATTTGCGTTAGTATTTCTTGGTTGTGAATTGTTGTCAAGTGAGTATTTCTTGGTTCTTTCAAGAACTGACTAAGTTTATTAATAGTGAAGCTAATGTCAGGTCTTGAAATGGTCAAGTAGATCATTCTCCCTATAAGTCTCCTATACACAGAAGGATCTTGCAGGAGCGTTCCATCTGTATTATTTAATTGAAGAGTAGGATCCATAGGTAACATGAGTGGTTTGGAAGCTAGGAATCTTGTATCCTCTAGAAGTTGCAGGGTGTATTTTCTTTGACAAAGAGATATGCCTTGGTGGCTTCGGGCAATTTCTAGACCCAAGAAATACTTCATATTTCCTAGATCCTTAAGTTTGAATATAGTGTGAAGAAAGCCTTGTACGGATTGAATTAGAGCAAAATTGGATCCAGCAATTACAATGTCATCAACATACATAAGTAGAATGAGCATATTGGAACCTTTTCCTCTAAAGAATAGGGAGTAATCATCTGTAGATTGTTTGAACCCGTGATGAATCAAAGCAGAAGTGAGCTTAGAGAACCACTGTCTACTAGCTTGTTTGAGGCCATATAAACTTCTCTGTAATTTGCAAACCAACCCCTCTTTAGGTGTTGTATACCCTTGTGGAATGGTCATGTAAATGTCTTTTTCAAGGTCTCCATTTAGGAAAGCATTATTTATGTCAAGTTGAATGAGTTGCCAATTCTTAATTGCAGCAACAGCTAGGAGAGTTCTCACAGTAGTCAACTTTGCCATTGGGGAAAAAGTATCTTTGAAATCTACACCAGCTTGTTGAGTGTAGCCTTTAGCTACTAACCGAGATTTATGTCTGTCAATTGTGCCATCAGCCTTATGTTTGAGCTTATAAACCCATTTGCAAGCAATTGGCCTCTTGTTCTTTGGTAAAGGGACAAGTGTCCATGTATTGTTTTCTTCCAATGCCTTGATCTCCTCAGCCATGGCTTGTTTCCATTTAGGGAACTTCACAACTTGTTGATATGTATAAGGTTCATAAGTTTTGGTGATTTGGCAGATGAAGTTCATAAGGAAGGTGAAAGTTTGTCATAGGATAGCTATTTTTCTATAGGATATAACAGTATTAGTAGTAGGTTGCTGCCATTGATAATCTTGCAAGTAGGCTGGAGGTTTAGTAATTCTTATTGATCTTCTAGGTGGCTGAGTTATATCTGTAGTTTGTGTTTGGTCAGTCAAAGGGATGGTGTAGTGATCAGATATGGGTTGAGGGATGACTTGATCAGGAAAAGGATCATAATTATTGTTGGAAGGATTTTTCCTGTAGGGGAATATGCTTTCATGGAAGATAACATCTCTTGAAATCTCAATTTGATTTGAGGTGAGATTAAGAACTTTGTAACCTTTTGTGTCATTCGGATATCCAAGGAATATGCAAGGATGACTTCTAGGGGAGAACTTGTTTCTTTTGGACAAGAGAGTAGTTGTGTAGCATAAGCAACCAAAAGAATGCATATTGGTATAGTCTGGTTCTTTGTTGTATAACAATTGATATGGAGAATTATTGTTGGTGTTTGGAGATGGTAGCCTATTTAAAATGTATGTGGCCATTTGGATACATTCACCCCAATATGAGATAGGGATGTTGGACTGATAGTATAGAGCTCGGGCAATATTTAAGATATGCTGGTGTTTTCTTTCCACCACTGCATTTTGTTGAGGTCTTTCCACACATGAGAATTGGTGATAAGTTCCTTCTTGAGAAAGAAATTTTGTCAAGAGAAGTTCCTTAGCATTGTCACTTCGCATTTGTTTGATTTCTTTCTAAATTGATTCTGGACAAATCTGAAAAACCGTTTTATTGCTGCTGGTGCATCTGATTTATGTTGGAGAAGGTGTATCCAAGTGTACCTTGAGTGGTCATCCACCAAGGTTAAGAAATACCTCATGCCATTATAGGTGGAATGGACATAAGGACCCCATATGTCACAATGTAAGAGATCAAAAATGGAATCAAAAAAATTATTATGACAAGTAAATGGCAATCTTTTCAATTTAGTAAGAGGACATATATTGCAATTAGAGGAATCAAATGAGGCAGGAACAACCAAGTCCAATTTATTGCTTATGAGTCTTAAAATCTTGTCAGACACATGCCCTAATCTATTATGCCACAAAGTGGCTTTATTACAAGCAGAAGCATTAACAACATTATTACACATGTTATTGCAAACTATACTACATAATTTCGTGTTGGCAAGTTGACATAGCATGTATAGCCCATAAAACATGTTACCCTGACCAATCTTCTTGGAGTTGGTGACCTCCTGTATCACAAAGTGAGTAGCATACAAGGTTATGCAGAGCTTTTTGTCATGCAATAGGGAACTAACATAGATAAGGTTGAAGTTGAAGGTAGAAACATAGAGAACATTGAACAAAGTTAGATTGACGTCTATCTTGATATTACCAATCCCTTTAACAGGCATTTTAGATTTGTTGGGCAGAGTCACATATTGGTAATGCACATGAGTGAAGGAATAAAACATGGATTTACAGCAAGCAAAATGAGTACTAGCACCAGAGTCTAAGATCCAATTATAAGAGAAATTAGAATTAGTGCTTGGATGAATTGTGAAGATAGTACCATTAATTTGATGTTGATCAGAATGTTGAGTATTTGAACTTCTTGATTAATTCTGGAGCAGTGCTAACAATTGCTGATATTGTTGAGCAGTGAATGGGAATGGGTTTTCTTCATCACGAGAAACTTGATTGACCACCGGTTTGGCAGTGGAAGTAGGAGCATTAGATGTTTTCTTCTTGAAGTGAGCTGGATATCCATGAATCTTGAAACAAGTGTCCTTTGTATGGCCATGTTTCTTGCATTCTTCACAGTATGGTCTTTCCTTTTAATTATGTTTATACTTGTCTTGGGCTTTCAAAGCAAATGAAGGATGTGATTCTTGCAAAGGATGGTCAACTCCAATTTCCCTTTGAGTCTCTTCTTGACTTACAAGGGAAAAAGCTTGATTCATTGGTGGAATTGGATCCATGAGTAAGATTTGACCCCTCACATGAGAATATGAATCATTTAATCCTGTAAGAAAAAGAATGACCTGATCCATAATGTGATGGTCTATCCATGGCTCTGATACCATCTTATAATAGTGGATTTGAGCCTAACTCAACCCTACAAAACTAGCTTGTAAGGTAAGGGTTACTTTCCACTTATATACTATTTAATTGTCTAATCTCTAGTCGATGTGGAACTTGGGTTTTTCACAATACACTCCCCTCACGTCTAGCGCTATTGGGCTTGGTACGTGGATAAATGATGTGTGGCCTTTTTAATGATCTAGGATTGACAGGACTTGAATACAATCCCTCATGCCCATGGTGTATGTATTAATGAATGGTACGTGACCCTTTTTTTTTAATGATTTGGCGAGACTTGAATACACTCCCTCATACCCATGGTGCATGTATCAATGGTGGGTGACCCATTTTTAATAATCTATGATAGCTCTGATATCATAATAGAATTGTAACAATGAATTCTCATTGATTATAAATGTTACAGAGAAGAAGATATATATAAACAACTAAATATGACAGCTGGCAAAACAAACTGAAACACCTATTAGCTGTATGCAAAAGAATAAACTATTACAGGCTGTAATATATGTTAATCTTTAAGAATTTTTTTCCAGAATATAATTTTTTAAAAAATAAATACTTAAATGAACCCTGCAACAATTTAATTACAAATGTAGAACAGTTTATTGTGCAAGATCAGAATTTGGTCTCCAGATCCAAATTCTGACCTGCTACAATATTAATGGATTGCAATTTGGCTGGAATTCCGGGCAGCCTCTTTTTTTGTTTTTTGTTTTTTTTCATTTTTGCAGAATTGATTTTTTTGAAAATAGAATTTTA